GTTATGCACAAAAGAGAGGATTCACATTTCCACCTCTTAGACGGTCTCCATAGCGGTCCCAGGCCTCTAGTAGAGTTTATTTTGCAGGAAAAGGCAGGCCTAGGCCGAACGTTAGTGACCCAAAGAGCATGTTTATGTTAATTTTACGTAAACTGAATGTAAATTTCTTGTCCATTTTATATCATTTTTACGCAAACCATTGTCAAGAAAATGCCAACATGCTTGCACAAATGTCACCTCTNTTTTATATCATTTTTACGCAAACCATTGTCAAGAAAATGCCAACATGCTTGCACAAATGTCACCTCTGTGATATGTAAACGGTGATATAAAATTAACGTCCATTTTACGTGAAATTGACATGCCCATTTGCCTTCCCAACAGTATTTTTACGTTGATTTTACGTAAGATTTAAGTTAATTTCCCCCTTGCATTCATGTCTTTAACGAGCCAATCAGCACCCTTGGAAATAGTTGATATACTGTATCTCCCATTCCTTTCCATGCTTCAGAACTCAAGGGTGGTTGGATGAGTACACTCATCCTCATCAGCACTCAAGACTACCAAACCGACCTACTGCTTCCTCCTCCCGTACTGGAACCTTGGGAGAAGGGGTAGATATTCGAAGTAGCTCTCTCCCATTTAGAGTAGAGAAGAATTATTCTACTGAGATTCTACTCTTCCCTAATCCCATGCACTGCTGCAATATAAAACCTAATTTCAGCATTTAATTATTCCCTGAGTCATATTATGAAAAAATATATTATAATTTCATGATTTACATATTTATATTCATGGATTACATAATAAAAAGTTGAAGGATTTTAAGAACGTATAATATTCTATCAGGAATGCAAGTACTTAATAGTCGGAAGCAGGGAACAAGGGTTCCATCTAGTCTCCTTAGAACCATGACGTTGAAGCCGTACCAGTCGATTTCAAAGTATACCTACCACACCGCAATTAAAACGTATTTGAACTATAGTACATGAAGTCGTCAAATGGAGTGACGTGTAGTTCATGTAAAATACACATACACATTGGCGACGTAAATATAGGAACGTAAATTTTACGTAAACGTGATGTCATTTCCATGGCAATCGCACGAAATTTACAGTGCAAAGAATTGGTATCTCGTCTACGTAAACATGCTGCTGGGGGAGCGCTGTAGCGAATGGTTAGGAAGCGGGCGTTTCGTTTGGTGAGGTGTGGAGGTGGGAGGAGGGGATGTAAGAAAGTAAAAATCATTGAAAATTGGTTTCAAATTACTAAATGTAAGTATAATATGGAAGTTGCATAAAACATGGTTTTTTAACGAAGTACAACGGGACCTTAAAGTCCTGGCACGTACTTATGCTTTTATAAGTCGTTGTTCTGTAATGGGCCGCGGCCCTTCCAGTCATGTCGTTCAGGGAAAGGGAAAGGAGGCATGCTGATTGAGGAGACGGACAATGTCTGTGTGATAAGCTGAGGGGAAAGGGGCCAGACGGATGAGGGGACATTATCCCAGAGATCCCGGATCTGGATCACCATCCGCGCTCTTCCAGAGGTGACCTCCAGTCAGGATCCGGATCACAATATATTTTGGACATCCCTGTCCAGAAAACCCATGTCACAATCAAGGGTTATGAGACAACCGCATTTCCAAAATCATTAGTAGGACAGGTACATGTTCGGAGATACGGACCCAGAAATTAATGGGGATGAATTTTGTCCTCGAATGCGTTCCCCAATGAGAACTGTTCCTGGGAATTGGACAACCAATGGACGTGAGCTACCACCTAAAAATCACTCCTCCAGGAACCTCCTCTGGATCCTGAAGAAAAAGCAAGAACTTCGTCCGAGAAGTTCAGTCCTGAATTGAGCGAGGGGACTCGGCCCTGTCCTTGATCGTGGAGCTTTCCCTCTCAGTCCGACCGGAGTGTTAGTGCCCCAGTTCGACATTAAGAGTAGGTCTTCGAGTTTAAGCCACCAACTTCCTCTCTCCCTCTCTCTCCCTCTTACGTGCGTTTGCCTAGAAAATCGGATAGGTCCTTATTTGTCGTCTGTGAAGCTTGTGAACTCACCAAACATTTTGTATCTTTATATTTTCAGTACTTTTGTTAGATAACTTGGTAACATTTAAAAACGTCTGTAACAAATTTAGGTATCAAACTCGGTCGTGGGATATTCCTTTCTCGGCCGTGAACAGGCACGAACTTTTTTTCTTGATTAAAGGAAGAGATTCTGAAAGGATTGCTGTCAGGCACGGGACGCTAGGAAGCAAAATTGATTAGCTATTTGTTTTCTGTAACAACCTGCCACAGCGCCCCGTGCCCTTGACCAGTTTCAAGAATAAATTTAATGATCACCTAAGATAGTAACCTATCTGTGGTCTTAGGATACTGTTGTTTGCATCTTACAGCGTTTGCTGTTTATTGTTAGTATTGTGGGTTAAATATGCTCACCTACATGCGTGCCATGACTCTTGGTTCACCCTGTAAACAGACATCCCTGTGCGATATTGGGTGTCAGACAATATCCATGCAACTAATGAGGGGGATATGTCCATGACTGAAAATATGCTTACTTAGATTTTTTTCCTATTTGGATGTCACATTCATTCGTGTTCCCAATATTGGTCCCCTAAATTTATTATGAGTTAATTCGCCTTTCTAATAAGACCTCCTTTAAACGGCTGAAGAAAACTCCTTGAAACGCAAAGTGAATACTGGGGAGGAAATGGGAAGAACTATGACTTTCATTTATTTTTTGCGACACTGTCACAGCTTTTCAGAATATCATTGGTATATATCGTTGCTTATGTATCTAGGTTCATGGCCCCTTTAAATTTGAGACAATGGTAGTCATCTGCCAACATTGCACTGTGAAGAGAGTCTCCAGACACAGCAAATCCTTTTCATTAATATTAGTCCAGTAGTGAATCTTAATTTTGCTCTTTAAATATTTTTTTCTTATGACAGTAAAAAGCGCAGATTCAGCTTTCCAAAGCGGCTGATTGTTTTTTAAGCTAGACTTTTTAAATGCATAAATGCAACATAAGGACAGGGTATCTAACCTTACCTTACCTTAACATGGCTATTTTCATTCGTAGTCATGATATACAATGTTCACACTTTACATTTTATATTTTGTAAATCTTTAGTCTTTCATTTGATAGCATAAAGCATTTTTGCATGGAGTCTGGAATCTTCTTTGGCGAATAATACACTTATAAGGGGCTCTATGGGAGTTTTAAAAGAAGACCAATCCTTCTTTAAGAATTGACATTTGAGAGCTCAAGAAGTATGCTTCAGATTGGAAGAAATTTCGACAGTAGTGGCCTGAGGCTGCTATGATGGGCGTCTAATGGGCAGAAGTTAAAAAAAAATGTTTACATAAAGGTTTGAAGCAGTTCGGTTCAAACTCAACATTCAACATTTTCAAAAAACCTCAAGTGCGATAGTGTTGCCTCCCAGGTAATTTAATACGGAGTATCATCTAGAGCATACCTCACAAACCAAAGTAAAAAAGTACTAGCGGCCTGTGGCCGCTACGCTGGCCGTCTAGTACATGGAAATATGAATAGTCCATTTTGAGCATGAAGTCTTCTTGACAATCCTCTATTCATTGCATTACCCATTCAGAAGTGAACCGCTTAATTACATTTATACACATATAGCTTACAGTACACAGGGAGATTCTGGATTCTGAACCTGTACGAACCGTTTCCAATAACTTGTTTGACGACACAGAAGGATGTTAGTGCATGTGCGGCACAATGCTAAAGACTAATTCCTGAAAATGCAAAACCTTCCATCAAGTTGCTTAGCTGGCTGCACGGCTCTCCTATTCTGGAGCTCAGCATTCGCTGCCTCTAGCTGTTCAGCGGTCTGAGCGGCCCTAAGCTTCCTATGTAAATGTGCTTGCTGCTTATCACCGATTCTAGCCATTACGGCTAGCATCGATTTAGGCACTTCGCACCGCAACTGCAGAGGCAAACGTTGTTTCCGCGACAGCACCAATCGTTTATTATCTGCAACGACTGCCTCATCGCCGTCCTGTGGGACCTCTTTCAACATTTATTTTTTCACGTTCAACCTCACCTCGCAAATATCGTGACCATCTTGATGGGAGGAGCGGTCCGTTTGTGTGACGTATGAAACAAAGAATTTACGTTATTAATTTGACTTCATCAACCATGAAAACTCAAATAAATCGACCATGACATGAAACGCAAGCAGAAAACTATTGCATGGAAGCGATGTCCCGAACCGCCACCATGATCTAACGGAAAAAATAAAGAAATACAGAAAAATAAATTGATTAAGGAATGTATTCAGATGGAGAACTTGCAGTCGATCAGTGAAAACGTGACGCGCATTCAGTTATTACCACCCTTTGATTGACACAACTAAGTATGAAGCCTATGGCTGGGACTGATATAGCTCGATGGACATGACGCTAAAAGCGTTGGATCGCCTAGAATAACATAGCCTGAAGGACCTGGCGCTTTGAGAGGTGAATGACCTAGCCTTTGGCCTGAAGTGACATAGTCTTGTAGGCCTCGCGCGTTCGATTGATGACCTCCTACCACCACCTCAACTCTCGGGCTCTTCGAATTACGTATAAGATGGCTTGGTAAAGGCGTAGCATGGTAGGCCTGGCCTATGACCCAGCAATGGCATTGCATCGTAGACCCGCACGTGGGGGGTGACAGCCACGACCACCACCACCGCAGCTTTTGACCTCTTCAAATTAAAGTATTAGATTGAAAATTTCTCTCTTATGTAATGGATTGAATCCCCCCCCTGTGCGTGGCAATTCTATGCCCGAAAAACTGCAATTGAGTGACTGTTGCGGAGCGCGGTAGCATTTTGGTCATGCGGAATACTAATGATTCAACCGGGATCGCCGAAAGGAAAACGTAGCATGAGCATCATAGGTCAATGTGATTGCTGTTTTTATTGATGCGCATGCAAGCCCGCCCAAACAGCATGTTTATGTTAATTTTACGTAAGATGAATGTAACTGTTTGTCTATTTTATATCATTTCTACGCAAACCATTGTCAAGAAAATGTCAACATGTTTTATATGCTTAAGACACTGCGAAACAAAATGTGAATTACCTATTCAAAAAGTATGTATTCATGTTATATTTAATATTTCCACCTTCAGCTAAAAAGAATATCGGATGTCACCAATATTCCCATGTTACTTTGTTTCGCTCATAAAATGACCGAAACAAAATAAGAAAAGTCGATATTTTGCTACTTTGCTCACAGGATGTTTACATTCATTTTGCATAAGATTGATGTTAATTTTCCCCTGGCATTCATGCGTATTTCAAAAGCCAATCAGTACCATTTTATATACAATTTATATACTGAATCTCCTATTCCTTTAGGTTCCTTAGGGTGATTGGACGAGTCCACGAGTACCCATCCTCATCTCACTGAAGACTACCAAAGTGACCTACTGCTTCCTCCTTCCGTACCGGAACTTCAGGAGGAGGAGTAGTTGTTCAAAGGAGCTCTCTTCCTTTTAGGATGGAGAAGATGTAGTACTCTTCCCTAATCCCGTGCACTGCTGTAATAAGAAGATTAACCTCAGAATTTAATGATTCCCTGAGTCATATATTATTTTTAAAATACATAATAATTTCATGTTTTCCATAGATATATTCATGGATTCCATAATAAGAAGTAGAAGGATGGTAAGAAAACCTGATACTATATCAGGAAAACCAGTACTTAATAGTAATTGTTGGATGCAGGGAACAAGGGTTCCATCTAGTGATGAATCTTGGTACTGCAGCAGCAGGATGGTTAGTTAAAGTTTCAAATGGATGGTGTCTTGTCAATTTTTCATAAACTTTATATCATGTACTTCATGTCAGATGGAGTGACGTCTAGTTGATGTAAAATACACGTACAATTTGGTGACGTAAATATAGGAACGTAAATTTTACGTTCACGTGATGTCATTTTCATGGCAATCGCAAGAAATTTACATTGCAAAAAATTGATATCATGTTGACGTGAACATGCTGTTTGGGCGATGGTGCTTCGGATGCACAGTGAGATCAACATTGCATGGAACATTTCCATGATAATTGACGAATGGAAATGCACACTCTTTGGGACCAGTGGGAGAGTCGTAGCGCCGGCGTTCATCGGAATAAAATTGTATTAATAGCAGTCTAATGTCGCGCAACTGACCACCCTTACGCCTAACACGCTCCTCTTCCTCACGAGCCGCTTCTCCTAACCGCCTATGTTGCATACGTTAAATATTGACCGCTCGCAATACGTGGTCAAATGTCAGCAAAACTTCTCCGTGGCAAAGGTACTACCTTTTCCTTCAGTTGCCCATATTCCCAGTGACTCGACTATACCTACGAATAGGATTCAACTTCATCGCGAAATCAGCGACGATTTCTTTCCCTTGACAATTCTAAAAGTTGCTCTCAAATATCACATTTTGCCCCATTGGTTTTCGAGATTCAAGATAGTGATATCAAGATACTGTTTCACCCATTTTGATATCACGTGTCGAGATCAAGCGTTCCTTAATTTTTGGGTAGGCTTAACCCTATTCAAGCTAAATCTGTTTGTATTTGTGTATTTTTGTTTTTTGACTATTCTAGTTGCTTACTGTCTAGTACCTAAGGTTAACATTGAACCCCCCCCCCCCACCTTTTTGCCTGTCCATGAATGCATCCAGTCTCTTCTGAAAGATATTCACTGAAGGGGCAGTCACTACTTCCTCGTCTAACGCTTTCCATGCATTCACCACTCTGCAAGTAAGGAATTCCTGTCTCGACCCGAGCCGCACCTGCGGTTTGCGCGACTTAAGTCGGTTGCCTCTCGTTTTCTTGCTGCCATCAAACTGGGAAAACCTACCACACTCGACATTATCTATTCCTTTAATTATCTTGAAAGCCTGGATGAGATCGCCCCTCCTTAAGCAAAAGGAGGAGGAGCATCGCCCCTCCTTTTCTGCATATATTTGCCAGAGTCTTCATTTCATGCCTATTTACAAAGTTCACAGAACAGAGACTGCAACGGAGCATCCTTAAATTACGAACATATACTTTTTCTCGTTTCCCCAGGTCTTAATTCTTACAACGGTCAGGGAACGGAAACAGGAATGAAGCATCTATTAATAAACCGTGTTATTTCTCTTGTATTTTCTCATGAATTCCCTATATGGCTATTTACTAAGGCCACAGAACGGAAACCACAATGAAACTTTAAAAGCAAAACAATTATTGCTGTTTCAACTTTTTATCCATGTATTCCTCATAGATGCAAATTTAGCGAAGTTGCAGGAAAACCCCGTCCTTTTCCGTGATGTCACTGGTGCCTGATCAGCTGTCTTGAGCCGAATTATGGTGACTCAACCTTCACAGGGTTTTGAGCGAGATCAGGTATCTCAACATTAAAAAAAGCGTCAGCCTGAGTCTCACATATGTAACTAATATTCCAGCCAGAGGAGAAGAAATACATTGAGCCGTTAGACCGCCCAATGTTGTACCCTCACCGTCACACCGTCTTGTCCCATTAGCACCGTATATGCTTAAGACACTGCGAAACAAAATGTGAATTACCTATTCAAAAAGTATGTATTCATGTTATATTTAATATTTTCACCTTCAGCTAAAAAGAATATCGGATGTCACCAATATTCCCATGTTACTTTGTTTCGCTCATAAAATGACCGAAACAAAATAAGAAAAGTCGATATTTTGCTACTTTGCTCACAGGGTGTTTACAATCTACTACTTAGAGCGCCGCCATGCCTGAAAACTTGCAACTGTGGTAGGGGGTTATAATAGGCTAAAACTCGGATTGATATCGGGTATGGTTTGATTGAAGTCTGAGTTGCCCCGTTTTGCCCCACTGTCCCATATTAATTTGCCATTGGCCCATAGGGAAAGCATGGAAAACAAGGGCAACATTTAATCAATTCTTATCCTCTTAATTTCTCAGAATTCCATTGCTCCCTTGTGGCTGGAGATTTGACAATCATAATCAGTTACTCAAAAATATGTATTTCAATGATTTTCAACAGGCTCTTTTTTTTAAGGTATTGGGATCCTGAGCTTCTCCATGGTTGTGTCGGCTCGACTTGGAATCTACCAGGAGACGTTAGTTAAAGAATTCGGCAAGCATCCTCAGGAATCTTTATACTATTCTGTGAGTGACGATGTGTTCATACTGGGTGACCATAAATTACGTGAACAATTTTGTGACATCACTATTTCGAAACTACAAATGCGAGCAGATTCGTACAGGGCAAACTTATTGGAAATACCACGCATCATTACCCTTTTCCAAACATCATTTCAGAAATTTAGATGTGGCTTCCGCGATTCAAAGGACTAATGCCAAGCGATACTCGAGTTCGTTTAAACTTAGGAGAGCAAGTCAGGCGTCACCATCGCAATGGATGCTACAATGCAAATCTTCCCCGATGCGTGCCAGCATGTCGCAGCAAATTTATTTGCTATGGGCAATCAGTCAGGAAGATTCGCTGAAAAATGGAAATATTGTAGATGTGTTAGGCCAGACCATCTTCTGAACAGGTGATTTTGGGACCGAAAGTTTTTGGCTCGCGCGGCTAACACTTTTCTTCGTTTCACTTCAGTCTGAAGAAGTTATTTGTCAAACTCAGTTTGGGTCAGTGTGAGTTAGGTTAGGTCAGGTTAGATTTGGTTTTTACATGGTTACATTCCTCAACCCCTTCTTTCCTGGAAATATTCTTAACATTGATTCGGTGGCAAAGGCCAAAGAGTGACAAAAGTCACTTTCTCACTCTTTCGGCCCAACATAGAAGGAATGCGGCTCACTCGGTATGTGTTCATCGCTAGTTTTTGAGGTTTAGTGCGCTTGGGTTTAGTGAAAACCCCGAAAAGCTGATGAAACGTTAGTCTGAATATTGAACCTAAATTTGATCACGTTCTTCAGTGAAATGATACGGAGAACACAAATTCGTTTTTCTACTTTTAAGACTAGGTAACACCACATAGACAGACGGCAGCTTCTATTATGATATGTGAGACGGGACAATATTATTTATGAGAACACAGAGTACATTTTCCACAATTCCAAACTGATGAATATGCACAAGAAATGAATTGTCCCAAATCGTATTGAATAACTCAAGGAACATATATATATTGCATTGAGAATACCGAAATCGGGCGCGTAGTTATATATTTACCTCTAAAGAAGGCAATGTTTTTCGTATTAAAAGTGCCAAGTTCGAATGTTTTCTCTTTTATGGTTTGGAAACGGTGGCATCTAATATAATGGGTTGGAAAGATAGTCTTGCAACACTTTCTAAAACTAATTTTAAAATATTTTCAAAGGAATGATGGTCGGGCCTTTGGATTTGTAAATGCTGGAATGTTCTCCAAGCTTCTGCCCTCGAGGTGTATAAGGCGGCTTCTACCATTAGTTGGCAGCCATGGCTCCGATCGAACAAGCAACTCTTCGCCCCTTCATCTATTAGGAGTTTCTCCTAGGACACTCTGCGAGAGCCGCCGGGGACATCATCTGCGCTGCATTCTAGGGCAACGTCGTCAACTATTCCACGGTGTCTCGATGGTTCAAACGCTTCGAATCTGGCGACGCGACCCTCGAAGATCAAAGCTCAGTACTTCAGCAGTCACAATCTTGCCTGGATTCAGCTTTTCATGTGTCTCCATTTGATTGAAGCAAAGAGAAGCAAAGAGAATTTTGAAGTATGTTCCCCTTTCGAGGTACATGCCTTGGGGGTACATATTTCGGGGAAAACCTTTTTCTTAAATATATTTTGTCACCGATGAGAATGGCATTCTCTGAATCGATTGGATATGCTGGGTTCTGTGGTGTCGTAGTAGCATCTCTAGCTGGCAATCAGAATGTACGTGTTCTAGTCCCGGCCATTCCCTGGCTTTCTTTTGGCGTTTTTTGTCTTCCATATCCTGTTACTCAATCTCCTACCATAATAACATTTTTGCTTGAGTAAAATCGGAGAGATATGGAAAGGTGAAACTTGCCATGGTCGTGCCTACCGAAACAATAAGTTCAGGAAGAGTGGAAGTTTTTTAAATCATAAATCTAATATTTTCATGAGCTGATGTTTTCAAGTATTTTTTTTTGTCCTAGCATATTGGGCTTGTGCGGAAAGATGAAACTTGGTGTATAACTACCTGTTGGGATGCTGTTGAAGACTCCAGATTTTAGAAGTAAGTGCCTTTGGGGCACAAATTTCAAAGGGAGATGTTTCCAACTAATTTTTGGCATCAGTTAAACTGATTTACATGGAAAGTTGAAACTTTGCATAAATGCGACTACTGAGACAAGGAGAAGGAAAATGTGGGAATATGGAAATGGAAAGGTGAAACATAGCACACGTATAAGCGACATGGTGATATTGAGTTGAGGAAGTATTTAGCTTTTCAGATCCATTCACTCCGCCCATAGCTTTTGGTTATGTTGGCTTTTCCAAACATGTTTTTTCATCTGCGAAAATGGCAAACGTATAACATTGAAACTTTGGCTGACTGACTGACGCTAATTCTAACCATGTTCCAGAAAGGTTAGAAATCTGAAACTTGCTACACATATACCTCTTGGGATACAGAGTTCAGAAAAAATCCGACTTTCGAGGTACATGCCCTAGGGGTACACATTTTGGTGGGAGAAGTTTTTTTTAAATATATAGAGTGACGGATGAGTATGTCATCGAGAGGGGTGACTGGATGTCTTGCGTTCGTGGCGTTATGGTAGCACATTTGACTGATATTCAAGAGGCCCAGGTTCAATTCTCAGCCATTCCATGGCTTTTCTTGGCTTCTCTTTCCTTCCATGTCCCGTTAATTGAATAAAACGGAGAGGTGAAACGCGGCATGGACGTGCCTACCGACACAATAAGTTTAGGAAAAACGCAAAATTTTATATGCATGCCATGGGGGTAAATTTTTGGGGCCGACGTTTTCAAGCATTTTGTCCTGGCGTATTAATCTAGTGTGGAAAGATGCATGTAGAATAATTCCGACTTTGGAAGGAAATGCGAGGGGGGTACACATTTCAAATGGAGATGTTTTCTAATAATTTCCTTCCATTAGTTAAACTGATGAACGTAAAAAGTGGAAACTCTGCATAAATGTGACTTCTGAGACAAGGAGTTAAAGGAAAATGTAAAGTCTAATTACATCCTCTAGGGAATTTTTTCGTGGGGCGATGTATAAAGAAAATTTTGTCTAGGCGAATTTGTTAGAAATGTAAAGGTGAAACTTGGCACACGCATTATTGAAATAATATTATTGAGTCGAGGGAGAATTCAGCTTTCATGGTGCATCCCCTCCGGGCATAGCTTTTGGGTGGGTTTGGTTTTCAAAGCAAGTTTTTCCACCACCGAAAAGGGCAAATGTATAAAGTTGAAACATTCTGGGCATGTAGTTCTCTGAGGATTGATTTCGGTAATAAAAAAAGGAATGTACTTTTTGGTTAAAACGGCTCAGGGCACATATTTTGCAAAAGGCTTATTTTCTTGATCCAGCAAAACCGAGGGCGCTAGAAAGTTGATAATGGAAAAAAAAGAACCTAATGGATAGCTGTGTACAAAATAATTATTCTTTCATTATATGTAGATGATCGTGAGTAGTTGAATGACTGACATGAGTCACTATTCGTATGCTGAGTTCAGGAAAAATTATACTTTGTTGATACATCATGCAATATGGGAACATACTTCAAAATAATTCTCTTTGCTTCAATCAAATGGAGACACATGAAAAGCTGAATCCAGGCAAGATTGTGACTGCTGAAGTACTGAGCTCAGGAAAAATGTCAAATTTCCAAGATGTTGGAATTTTCTTTTTTTTTGGGGGGGGGGATATTTCATGGGGAACTTAATTTTCCAAAGAATTTTTCATATCCTAGCGAATCGGGCAGAAATATAAAAGTAAAAGCCAACTCACGCATAATGGACGTGATGCTGATTTAAGGAAAAATGCAAATTTTGATGCGAATCTCCGCAGATCACTGCTGTTGGGTGTGTGGCTTTTCCAAATACATTTCTTTTCCGACAGCAAAAAGAGGAAAAACAAAATAAGCCTGAAACTGGGTTGCATGGAATTCCCTGAGTCTACATTTCAGAGGAAATGAAATGTTCGTTAAAACCCATCAGGGCACTTTTTTAAAGTCCAATTTTCCTGAATTTTTTGTTTGATCCAACGAAGCAAAGACAGATAATTTAAACTTCCCTCAGAAGTACCTGTTTGATAGCTTAGTACACGAAAAATCCTACACTTGAAATATGTCCCCTTTGCGTAGATTATTGGATGGAAGTATTTCAAATAATACTCTCCACCCTTACAAAAAGGGACACATGAAAATATTTAAAATTCGACACGCAATAATAGAAGTAATGATTTTGATCAAAACCAAGATATTCGTACCCACATGTCACCAATTTTAATGGGGAGTACTTAAAATATGTTTCCCATTTCGCAAAAAAATGAATTAATCACTAAGGTAATAGAGCTCTGAAGGCGCGACCATAGCGAGTTTGTTTGCCCTAGGGGCAAACAAACTCGCTAGTATTTCATATCGTGATTGCAGCTTGTTTCTTCGTAGAGGTCTCAATTTGTGATGTAAATTTCATAGAGACTTGCTGTGGGAGAGAACGCAGGTTGACGTAATCGTATTGTCCCTTATGATCAATATTCACCTGAAAAGAAAAGTAGTGTGGTTTTGCAATAGATCTAGCTACGAGGCAGTACCAAGAGTCACTCTAATTTGGAAATTGTGCCTCTCCATCATTCATCAATATAACCACCTGGCATGTCACAAATAGGTTGCTGGTCTTCTGGAGTTGAGTGTGTTAGAACATTTGTTAAGGGTGTAAATTCGGCAAAGTATGGAAATATCCAATGAACGAGTATGTGCCCTCATTAAGATATACGCAGGTTGTGGTCGTGATGCTGGATAATTTATTATAGGATTTTTAAAAATAATTTGGAAGCGCTGATTTACCAGTTCTGCGCGATAGCTAAATCTGGTGTTTTTGAGGAATACTACAAGGTGCTTTATGTAAAAAGGTGAAATCGATTGATCCATGGCATAAAACATCTCCCAGAATATGCTTAACGTATTTGTGACATTTAATTGCCCGTATCGATGGATGGTGAAAATAAGCTTATTGCCCTGAGATGTACAGATTTGTGGTAGAGATGAAGAAAAATCGATTCACCTACCTGAGCATCAACACTTGTCTCATTATTGGAAGAGGGCTTCAATTTTATATTAAAAAATGCATTTTCCATTGCCAACTAAAACTGTTTGCACAGCTTCATCTTTGAATAGACATCATAGTCAGCTTCACCTTTGTGGCAGCTTCACAGTAGGTTTTGCTAAATCAAATAAGCTGTCTTGCTGGGATGACTAAATGGATACAAATGAATGATTTAAATGAATAGAAATACAAAATTGCTTGGCTGCCCCATGTTTAATTTCTGTCATTTTGAAATGGAATCATTTTGGCTGGAACATTTATTGCATATAATTCATCATTTGAAAAAAGATGAATGCCTCTAAATCCAATTGCTGACCCTTGAAAATATAAACAATTATTTTTAACATGGAAACCAGCTATCAGCCTTCTCTGATAATTCCTGTTCTCTGGGTTAAATGCGGGAATACAGCAACTTGCTAAAAGTCTAGGAGACGACATGAAACATGTTGTAAGTTGAAGTGAAAAATGCAGATGGACGACGAAACGTCGAAAATGATTCGAAGTGAGAAGTATCCGCATGAATGCTTGAAATACCTAAGTAATTTCGAATACTCAGAGATATGGGGCAGAGACGAATTCTAGAGCAAGTTGAATGGTGGGGGTATAACAGCAGCAACAAGAATGAGCCAGGAAGGTATGGATGAAAGAGATGTTGAGTGCACGAAGAAGCCAGGGACCTGTTGTTCGGAGAATTGATTTAAGGTAGGAAGGAACTTTTAAATCGATGGTGTGGGATTTGAAATTTGACTTATAATTATTGTAAGTGGTCTCAATACGAGTGGAAGGAGGGGTCTCACAGTAACATCCGACCTACAGTTTTGCGAAAGTTAATGTTTGATATTACGGCTTTTGTCCGTGTTGTAATGAAATAAACATAACTTTCACACCCTTTCTTTTGAGATGTGCAATCAACGTTTGGATACAGTTAATACATTGCCATTTGTAATGGATACATGTAATGCGTCTTTGAGTGAAAGAACAAAGATTAAACTAGCAATTCACTTGGAGTATTCCAAATCCAAATATGCCTATTCGACTGCCATTCCGGTCACGTATTCATTTCACACAAAATCAAACTACCAAAGTTTGATTATACTCTAGGGTAACCTCCTCCAAAATGGTATGTCTTTCCTTCAATGCATTTTCGAGACTTTCATGAATATGTACCGTAAATGTCAATAAGAAAATGCGACATTGGAGGTTCCCATGGCATGACTCGCCACTCAAATATCTTAGCAAAAAATTGTGCGTAATTCTGTTAGAGAAGAGTCTCTTAATTCGGTGGACACCTTCATCCCTCGAATCCGCACAGATTGTACCATGGAACATCCTTTCTAAGAATAGTGTTTTGCAGTCTGTTCTTCCCAATGACCTCACTCCCCATTGCCTGCGTCACGACACAAGTGCTTAGCTTCTGCATATCCCAGCTCAGGATATAAAAGTTCGTCAAATAAATGACTT